TTCAAGGTGGATATGCCCCTGGTGGAGCTGCAGGTAAACAAGGAGTGGTGTAAAGTCTCAGAAGCTACTGTTCGATTCACAGTTGCATCGACTTATCAGCGCAGCTCGTGGGACTGGGTAGCAATATACAAGGTAACACACAGTTTGATTTTGGTCAAAAGCTCAAGAAAAAAATCTATTTTATGTAATGCCCAGTTTCAGCATTTGAAATGATGCCCATTTGTTATTCTGCAACAGGTTGGATTCAGACATCACAAAGATTACCAGGCATACATATGGGCCAAGGGAGAGCATGCAACACAGGTTTTTGTCAGACACTCAAATGCCATTTACTTTGAGCTGCAGCTGAATTTCAATTGTAACTGTATTTCTGTTCTTTTTGTTCCCCAGGTGACATTTTCAGATGAGGATTTGCCGAGAGATGATGGTGAATACATCCTGGGCTACTACAGTAACAACATGAACAGCATTGTTGGACTGTCAATGCCAATTCAGGTAACAAAAGTCAGAGGACAAAAGGTTAGCCACTCACGGCTTGGTATGATGTGTTTATTAATGAATATGCCCATATAGAGTATACGGCCATAAGTATGTGTACTCCCAGGCACGCAGCCATGTTACTACTACTACTACTGGATGCATCATCCTGTTTAAACAGGACAGGGCCTTCTCAAAACTCCAACAAAGTTAGTCAATCGACACAAAATAATGACGCAACTAGATTGACAAATGTATTGTTTTCAATCATTTCATTTAATAATAATATATTTATTTTCCTAAAATGCTTATATTACATTTTCTCTTCTCAAAACGAAGTTACAATTGAGATCCCTTAGCAATCAAAAAACATAAACACATAAAAACAAAGCACTAAAAGAATACAAATATGCAAACCACATCTAAGTTCTTAAAACGGCAAACCCATGAACCAAAACTAACTCGAATCAGTTAAAAATACAATTAAAAGTATGTTATGAAATATAAGCTTGGATTAAAATGACTCGGCATGATACTTTCTTGTACTTTAGTATTTCTGCTAATACATGTTTTTATTACACTGTATAAGGAAATAATGTACCTCTTACTGCTTTATCTAACATCCATTGCTACTTGTTGCAAATACATATTGTTTATTGATTTTTTTATGTGCTATGTGTACAACATGTGATGCATTGCTATAGAATAACAGTACATTAAGTAAATTAACTACACCTAAACGATGTAAAACATTAAAATGTGGCTCCAAAATGAAAAACAAATGATTCAATAACTCTGAAAGGGCATACAATTAGTACTTCGTAAGATCTGTTTTCTATACTTTGAATTCAATAAAAGTTTGAATGAAGTACTTTTACTTATAGTGGAGTATTTTTATAATGTAGGATTTTTTTCTTTTACTTAGGAAATTATATGTAGATGTGTGCCCACATACTTCAGGGCTATATCTCTATATATATTACTGCAACTTATTGAATGCCCTTATCCCTTACCTGCACAGATCAGGATCCCCATCCACAGCCCCACCGCGCGTCGCTCCAGCAGCTCGGAGGTCAGCTCAGAAGACGACAGCACTCTGGTCCTGCTGGCTCCGTGCTCCCGCAGCCCCAGCCCCAGCCCCAAAAACGGCAAACACCGCCATCGCCGCAGCCGAAGCCCCGCCCCCCCTGCTCTCTCCTCCAACCCCCTCCCCTCCCTGCAGGGCCTCAGCCTCTGTCCTCGCTCCAAAGAAGGACGGACTCTCTCCCCCTCATCTGCTGCTAAGAAGGAGCGACTGGTCTCGCCCGACACTGTGTTGTCCCCCACCATCAGCCCGCTCACCCCCCGCAGCCCGGTGTCTCCGGGCAGGGGGGTGACTGCACCCGAGGCTCTCATCGCTGCCATCCTAGGTGAACACAGACCAGCTCAGGTTAGCCCCACAGGGGTCAAACACATAGGAAAGACAGGGAAAACAGACACATAGAATATGAACATCTATTTTTAAAGGGATACTTCACACAAAGAAAGGCCATTTGTGTATCAATAATTCACCCTATGTTATTTTGAATTATTAAAGACATTGTTTCTCTTCCATGCCTTCACATTAACCTCAAAAACATTTTTTAAAGTCATGAAGGAACTGATTTCAATGTTGAAAAAACAGCTAAACTATATCAACATTTCCGTTGACAAAAACACTTAAACAACTTGTGCAGTATAATCTAATTATTATTTATCCTGTATGATCACTACTTCCCAAGCGCATGCATTTTAACGAAACCTTATTATTTAAAACACTCTAGACACGAACGGATAAAAAGCTGTTTGTAGAGGAAGCTTTTAAATGGTAAGGTTTGAGCGAAAATGCATGTTCGCATTAATTGAGTCAGAGTTTGTAAAGATTTTTTTTTTTCATATAGTTTTGCATACCTCTTATTCACTTAAATTAATTGAGAATTTTCTCAGTTATAAGATTATTGGTTCCTCGTGAGGCATGAGAGAAAAACTAAGTTTTATTCAAGAACCCAAAGTAACACATTATTTATGTACAAATGGTCATTTTTTTTGGGAAAGTATTCCTTTAAAAGGAGGTGATGTACAAAGAAAACAACGGCAATATTCATGCATTCAGGGTCCGATCATATCCCACAAAGTGGCAGTGCTCGTAGAAGCAGCACATTCGGTGACTCCTAATGTAGTTTGCAAACAATCCCGTTGTAGCACTGCGGTCTCTGAATCTACCATCACCTCATACACTATGTGTATCCTGGAGTCAAAGATGTGTCCTGACTCCTCAAGACAAGTGCTTTTATTTATAGATTCATAAGCTATATCATACGTTAACAAACATATTGAATGTGAAACCAAAGTCAGAGTAAATCTGTGATGAATGTGACCGGGTTTTAATTACAGCAATACGATTTGGGGCTGCAACTAGATATTATTTTTTATTGTTTGTTAATTTGTAGATTATTTTCTTGATCAATCAAATAGTTGTTTAATCTATTAAATGTCCGAAAACAGTGAAAAACGTTAATGAGTGTTTTCCAAAGCCCAAGATGACGTCTTCAAATGTCTTATGCTGTCCGCAACTCATAGAGTAAACAAACCGGAATTATGTTTCCTTAGAAATCTTCTAAAACCAAATAATTGATTTTCCTAATAGTTGGCATTTCATTTAATCTTTGCAGCTCTACTATGGATCCATGTAAACAGTCCTTTGTGAAAATAAGGACCCTTGACCAGAAGCATAGATGGTATCATAGTTCACATCAGTGTGCGTGTGTGTGTGTATGTGAGAGAGAGACTTTGTGCAGACCTGTGTGTTCAAAACAGAAATGTGTGAAAGGTGCATTTTTTTTTTTTTTTTTTTGGACCAGATGTTTTAAACGTTTAACTCTGTAGTTCTTGGTCTGTATTCTTGACATTTTAAAAATAAACTAAAAAGGAGCATTTTACGTCCTCAGAGTAATTAAATGTAAACGTGTCCTTGTGACTTGAACAGTAATCTTAGATCAATGCTCTTTTTCCTCGCAGCCTTGTGAATACAGCCCCTGTTCTACGGAGTCAGTGAGTGGGTGTACTCACTTGTTTGTTTTGCTTAATGGAAATGACATTTAATTGTGTGAGTGTGCAAATAAAACCAGAACAAAAAGAGTAAACGGAGCCAATACTGTTTATTGGACAAATACTCCAACAAGATGTGTATTTGTGTTTAAACATGGACTCAGTGTATTGACTTTAAGACCTTTAAGTTAATATATGCTAATCAGCTTAACCTTTAAACCTTATTCAAATGATTTACCTCTATTTATTTATTTATGTATGGTAACTTTGCTTTTAAGTCAACTCTTTGTCCCAAATACATTTTTATAAGCTTATACCGATACAATGTTTAAAACACTTTAACAGCTAAACTATTTCAACATTTCCGTTGACAAAAATACTCAAACAACTTGTGCAGTATAATCTAATTCTTATTTATCCTGTATGATCATTTACTTCCCAAGCACATGCATTTGAACTAAAATCTTATTATCTAATACACTTTAGACGCGCAAGGATAAAAAGCTGTTTATCGAGGAAGCTTTTAAATAGTAAGGTTTGAGCTAAAATGCACATGTTTGCATGAATTGAGACAGATTATAGTTTTGTAGTATTTAAATTCATCCCTTATTCACTTCAATTAATTTAGACCTTTCTCAGTTATAAGATTATTGGTTCCTCATGGAGGCATGTGAGAAAAACAAAGTTTTATTCAAGAAGGTAACACAGTAGTTATTTATTTACGGTCATGTTGTTGGGAAAGTATTTCTTTAAAAGGAGGTTATGTGCAAAGAAAACAACGGCAATATAATTCTTATTTATCCTACTTCCCAAGCACATTCATTTGAACTAAAACCTTATTATTTTATACACTTTAGACGAGCAGGGATAACAAGCTGTTTATAGAGGAAGCTTTTAAGGTTTGAGCAAAAATGCATATGTTTGCATTAATTGAGTCAGATATAGTTTTGTAGTATTTAAATTCGTCCCTTATTCACTTCAATTAATTGAGACTTTTCTCAGTTATAAGATGCTTGGTTCCTCATGGAGGCATGTTAGAAAAACTAAGTTGTATTCAAGAAGGTAACACACAGTGTTAGTTATTTATTGTTGTTGGGAAAGTATAAAAGGAGGTGATGTACAAAGAAAACAACGGCAATATTCATGCATTCAGGGTCCGATCGTATCCCACAAAGACGATTGGCCGTGCTTTTTACAGCGCCACGGCTTCCACAGATGCATTTTTTTAAATGTATTTATTGTCAAAGCATTTCAGGTATTGCTATCGGGATGTTAAGAGCATTCCATGGAATATAACAAGTGTTTCTGAAGTGAATTACCTACCCTACCTTTAAGCAAAACTACAAATATTGAACACCACTGTCAAGGTAGAAGACATGGTAGAAGGATGCTTAACCGTCAATTCCTTGTGTATTTGTTACTCCGAGGGACTTTCACTTTATTAAATTAGAGCACGCCCATTTGCACCACATGGTGTGTGCTGAACAACAACATTGGCTGCAGAGAAATGACTAGAAGGGCCTGAAGAAGTTGTTTAGGCAACAGTCTGACTCAATCTGCACTACACCCTGCTGAGGATACACGTGAAGCAGCGTGCTCACTGATTGTTTGACAGCAGCAGATCCAGGTAAAGGCTCTAACAACCCTGCACGGCTTCACTAAAACTGCTAACTGAACGGCTAGCTTGTTAGCTTCCCGCCTGCTTATTGGGTAAAATGAACGGCTATCAGAATGGTTTCCATAACAACTCGCACATTGATGAAGACTGCTTCCTCTTCACGTCTGAATCAGTCGGAGAGGGACACCCCGGTAAGTTTTTAATGTATATTAACTGCATTCCTTGAAGTAGTATTCCTTTATTGTATAATAAGTAGCCTGATAGCACCCTGTTAGCCTCTCAAACAAGGTCACGTTGCTTGTTACTCTTAACGTAGCTCAGCGTGTTGTTGTGTGTCAGCTCTCCAATAAGTACCCTGCGCATCATCTCTGTTTCTCTGTGTCGTCACCGTTAACAAGTGTATATAAAGTAGCCCAGCTGCATGTAATTGAGGCATGAAGTTACAACATACTTCATAAATGCTGGGGTAATGTTGCCAGCTTATGAAATTTGAAGTTGGAGCGTCGTAGCTGAATGCTAACCAAACGGTGGCTAACTGTTTAAGCTAACACGCTGAAGTTTCCCAGCTTCTGGTTCTCCTGCTCTAGAGTGTAAACTTTACTTATTGAATGAGACTTACATTGTGTCTCATACTGTTGGGAAAGCATGTTAGAAAGGTAGGTAAAGCCTTTATGCTGTCTGAAACCCACTTACAACTTTGTCAAAGCTATATTCTGTTATGAATAATGCAAAAAAGGGAAGACTTCAGTACGTGTTTTTTTATTTTTGCCAAAAGCTGGACCACATTGAACGAGGTCTCCTACAAAAATGTCCATACTTTCACTGAACTAGATTATCACAGATAAGCAAGAGATACATTTTCCACTTGTGAAGTCTTTGTCGTATTTGTGAACATGCAAAAAGAAAAAGGAGATTTCACTGCTTTTTAAAGGTCTACATCTAGATTAAATTGAACCAGGTCCACATCAAAACGTACGTGAACAATGTTCTCTATGATGAAGCCTTTTTTTAGAACTCGATTAAGCATTATGGTAATTCGGAAACCTTTAAGTATGTGGTTCTGTGCTGTCAGTGAGGCTGAACTAAATGTTAACGTATACACATTTCGGCCTCCAAAGTATCCATTCAACTTCGAAACTGTTCATAAAAACTAAACAAATAACAGTACAGTACATCTTCAGCATACTGCGTTTCAATTTGATAACATTTTACAGCAGCTTGTACAATACGCTGTAGTTTCCGTCCTCAGTTGGGCGAGCTTCATTGTTAATAGGCTTACCAGTAGTCCTAATTATAGGCAGTGCAGGGGCTTCTGGTCATCTGTGGATGTAACACAGTCACATACACATTGTTTATAGTTGCAGGAACATAGACGCACCTAAAGAGAGTTCTACTAAAGGTGTGTTTAAGTGTACATTTACTCTGCATTAATAGAAAGCTGCTTACTTATTTGGAACAAATTCAAACTGCTTTGATCCTCTTAGAAATGCTGTCACACTAGTCCTGAATTGGGGTTAGGGGATTAATTGCAGTACATGTCTGAAGGCCTCAAAGGGTTTAGGAATTAGGGAGCTGCGGAAGGAAAAAGGCAAACATTCCTTGTACAGCTGTAGCAATTATTTTATCAGTCTTTTCACTGAAACATAATTGGCTAACTGGAAATAACAATCAAAGTATTTTTCAGGCAAAAACGAGTTTCCTGCTTTACTGTTTTGTATCATATAAAACTGAATGTCTTTGTGTTTATTTACAGATAAGATTTGTGACCAAATCAGTGATGCTGTGTTGGACGCACACCTCAGACAAGACCCGGATGCCAAAGTAGCTTGTGGTACGAAAGTGAAATCTTTGTTGGCTTTGACAACCTTCACCACCTTGTCCTTAATGATCTGTTTTACTTAGTCTTACTCTCGTCCACTGCATGTCATTGTGTCCTCAGAGACTGTTGCTAAGACGGGGATGATCCTGCTGGCTGGGGAGATCACCTCCAGAGCCAGCGTTGACTACCAGAAGATTGTCAGGGAAACAATCAAACACATTGGGTATGACGACTCCTCCAAAGGTATGGTTTTAAAGTAACAGTTAAAACCTCTTTCCTAAATACAAACTATCGCAGTTATTTCAAATATGTGAGTATTTAGATTTACACATAGGATTGTATCAAATCACCCTAAAGATTTCCTCGTTTCGTATTGTAGCAGTATTGTCAGAATATGTAGCGAGAATTAAAGTTATTTTGGACTGCAATCATCACACATAATGAATGTTTTTCAGTATTGTACAAAAAAATCCAGATCTACTTAAAGTATAAATACTACAGTCGTACTTTAAGTGAAAAGTCAACAATTATAAGCAGCAAAATTGTATTTAGGTACAGTACTTGACTTAGTGTACTTAGTTATTGTCCACTACCAGTGATATTATATACTAAACTATCATTTTGCATCGTGAAAACTGAAAAAAGGTACATTGAGCGAATGACTTCTGAATTTGAATATAGCAGCTAAGAAAACACTGATAGTCTTAAACAGGTTTGACTATCTGACATTACACCTTTTTGAATAAATAAACACGCACAATTATATGGTCAACATGATGAGTGATCAGAGTTTTTAAATAAAGTAAATATTTAAAAGGGTCTTGGTGAGGATTGTCATGTGAAACAGTTTACTGAGGCTCACGGTCTTGTTCTATAGGTTTCGACTATAAGACCTGCAATGTGCTGGTGGCTTTGGAGCAGCAGTCCCCCGACATTGCTCAGGGCGTTCACATGGATCGCAAAGAGGAGGACGTGGGAGCCGGTGACCAGGTCAGAGGGTTTTTAGATTTATGTTTGAGTATGATCCACAACCGGGTAACTGTAGCCATAAATGTGGTGTTACAAAGTTTATGATTTTTTTTCTGACCTCTATTAATGCTGTGGTTTGTGACTGCACCTCTCACAGGGTCTGATGTTCGGATATGCCACTGATGAGACTGAGGAATGTATGCCGCTCACTATTGTCCTGGCTCACAAACTCAATGCCAAGATGGCTGAGCTGCGCCGAGATGGGACGCTGCCGTGGCTCCGGCCTGATTCCAAAACTCAGGTAGGACAAAGAAATAACACATAATTTACAATGGTGTGTTTACATTACTTATGGCAAACGTAAGTAAATGTGGTATAGACTTGATTGATTGATTGAAAAGTTTATTAACAGCTTGTATATTGGGTACAGTACAGCTCAAAACATACAATTGTTAAGGGGATGCAGACCAGAGAAAGACTTTCGTCTTGTTTACATCAGGGTCCCCCATTTCCAATTCATCATGTCATTTAAGACATATAAGACATACAGATGGCTTATTTACAATTTTCATTTTAGATTTCGTTCCAATACATCCTAAATATAATACATGCATTTGCAGTGCGTACCCTAGGTTTGCTTTAGTGGGATAAGATGGGCTGCTGTGAGTTAAAGGGGTGCAAGGGTTAGTCAACACTAAATGCTTTATGGCACTTCATAAATGATCCCAATGGCTCTAATTGGTTTTAAGCACTGCGTCTCCTGAAAAAACACCATGGTTAAATTTTGCCCTACATGCAAGTTTTTACAGCCTAACATTTTTGTAACAGCATACATATTTGATAATTTACTTTGCAGATTGAGATTGACAATAATATAGTAAACCAATAAATGTATTATTATCTAATCTTATTCTTTATTGTGTTTGTTGTTCCCCTCAGGTGACTGTTCAGTACAGACAGGATCGAGGCGCCATGCAGCCGCTGCGTGTTCACACCGTTGTGGTGTCCGTGCAGCACGATGAGGCTATCGCTTTGGACGAGATGCGCAGATGTCTGAAGGAGCAAGTGGTGAAAGCGGTCATTCCTAGTGGCTACCTGGACGAGGAAACGGTTTACCACATGCAGCCCAGCGGACGCTTTGTCATCGGAGGACCACAGGTGAGACAAGAGCACTTTAAAACTGAATAAAATCATGAAAGTTGTGTTTGTCATAAATGTTCATAACTCCTGTTTTTCTTCCCACAGGGTGATGCTGGTCTTACTGGCCGTAAAATCATAGTTGATACTTACGGGGGCTGGGGTGCCCATGGAGGTGGAGCCTTTTCTGGGAAGGACTACACCAAAGTAGATCGCTCTGCAGCCTATGCTGCCCGCTGGGTGGCCAAATCTCTGGTGAAATCAGGGCTCTGCAAGCGGGTGTTGGTCCAGGTGAGTGTACAGCAAAGTAAAGTGACATCTTGCCCCAAATCGATGTATTACAGAATCAGACATGTAGACTTATAGATGCTTCCAAAAATGCAATAACAGTAATCCCACCCAAAAAACGGTCTTATGGCATGTGGAATAAAATACGTAATGGTTTACTCAAATTACCCCATCACAGAGTTCCTGTTAGTACTAGTAATGCTAATGCATAAAGAATGTAATAAAAAGTGAGAAACCTTGTTGTGTAAAAACGTATTGTATACGCTGTGGTCTCAGCATCTAATCTAAAGTATTATCGAGTAGCATCTAAAATGTCTCTCCAGCTTCACAAAAACATCTTAATGGGTTCATCTGTTTTAGGTAGCATATGCCATTGGGATTGCCCATCCACTCTCCGTCTCCATCTTCCACTATGGGACGTCCGAGAAGAGCGAGAAGGAGCTGCTGGAAATTGTGATGAAGAACTTTGATCTTCGTCCAGGAGTTATCGTGAGGTATCCTGTGGTGTCTAATTTCTCGTTTAGTTAAGATCCCATTTCACACATCCTTTTGGTCTCTAAAAAACTGTTTTTATTTCTGCCTTAGGGATCTTGATCTGAAGATGCCAATCTACCAGCGCACAGCCGCTTACGGGCACTTTGGTCGAGACCTCTTTACATGGGAGGTGCCAAAGGCTCTGAAATACTGAACCCCTTCCTCTAATCTTTAAGCGGGCATGAGGTGTACTACAGATAAACCTGTGCCCGTCTACTCCCTCCTTCATCCTCCTCCCTCTTCCTCCTCACACACACAGCCACATCAGCGCAGCTTCTACGTCATGAAAACCATTCCCTTTCTCCACCTGTTAGTATTGTACACATCTCTATTAAACATAAAGAGTATTTGAGTTGCATGTATGAAGTTGAACAATCATGCTGGAAGAATTGCGCGTACAGATTCGAGCAGTGCTGCCAGCTTTTGTTTATCTTTTATTCTGGCAGCTCGCCACATTTTGAATCAATGATGGCCATCTATATCCCTGATAATGCTAGTTAAGAATAGAATAACTTAATCTCTGCGGTATGTATTTAAATTGTATTTCTAGAAGATTTCCATAGTGATCCATATGGGCATTTGCTTCATGGTATGCAGGATATTTCTTTTACTAGCTTTTATCTGGATCTATTCAAACTGGATCTCACTGTAGTGATCAGTGGCAGTTGGCGTGCTCAGTTTTTTTTCATGTAATTTCCCCTTACTGTGTTCGGTAACAAGCAGTGAAGTATTGCAAAAAGTCTCTGCTCTGTTCCCCTCATAACCTCACCCTTTGTTTGTGTAATTCTGCTGGCACAAACAGGATCAATCACATGACTTGATTTGATATAAAATCAGATCATTTTCTCATTCGTGCTGTCCCTTCAGGCCATTTTCTTTCTGACGATTTACAGAGAAATCAGAAGCTGCTTGTGGTTTTGTTGGACTGCACCATAAAATCGCTACATTTTTGTAATTTATTTTCTTGGTTTAAATCTCATGTGAATGTTCCACATTTTTTTTTAAACTGTTTCAATGTTTTCAAGATAAAGGCGTGGTACACTACACACCCTGCCTGAGCCGACTCTGGGTGTAGCTACAGAGAAACCCAGCTCAGTCGCCTCCAGGCAGGAGCTGCCTTTATTCCAGGGCAGCATCTTGTTTTATAAAATGGCTTTGACTACTGTGGGACAAGTAAGGATGGACAGCTGATTAATGTGTGCCACAATATTTCTTTATCTAAATGGTGGCTCCCTGACACCTTTTAGTCTATTCACTGGAATAACTTTACCTCTCAAATATTTTTTTAACAATATGTTTGCATCCTGTTGCTCCTCCACAGACGAGACAAATGCTTGGTTGGTGTTGTACAGAGAAACCAGCCTGTTTACGTTCTCTCCTGTGGTTGGGTAACATTATTTACTGTTCAATAATTTGTATAACTTGATGAAGTTTCAGTGTGGATGCTGAATGTAAAAGTGCCTTTTCTCTTTTGCTGCAATGTCCTTATCCCTTTCCCCCCAAATATCCTACTCCTTGCCTAATTAAATCTGACACGATCTTCTAAACTGATGTGTTAACATCTCCTGCTTCAACAATTCACACTGATGAGCCCGAGTTGTTGAGTTCCTCTTTCAATACCATTTAAAAAATGAACTGCACTCTTCTTTATGCTCAATTGCTGTCCTTTTGGCTTTTTATTTTGTATCATGAAACGGATGCTGGTCATTTAATTTTAAGAACATACTCTACACACAGACTTCACCTTTACTTTCTTATAATCCTTTAACAATTGAATTGATCATACAACAACAAATGACAAAATGTTGTTTGAAATATAAAAAAAAAAAGTATGTATTGTGAATGCCCCCGGACCCCTCTACAGGGTTTGAGGTCCTCCCCCATTTAAAATATGTTCCCATGGATAGGTTCCAAATACATTTGCACATTTTTTTTAAATAGTAACCCCTGTCCATATGATTATTATTGGGTAGATTTAAACTATAGGGCTTTCACTATGGGCAGCAACGCTGTAAATATTCACAAATAAATCCAGCAAAATGGCACAAAACTGGTAGTGGCCGGCTGGGTGTATAATTCCCGGCCTGACTTATTGTCCCAGTCCGGCCCTGCTTTACACTCAGTAGAATAATTTGTGTTGTGTGAAGTACTTACATTCGGTTTCATGTATTACCAGTTATTGATTTACACCAAACAGCTGCCCATACAATCAGTCTGACAAAAATAATTTACGGAAGAAACCTCAGAATTTTTTTAAAGCTGTTTATTGGCAGAAGAGGAGAAGGATGAAGTGATTTCAAACAACATTTATTCGGATAATTCTCCTGCGATCATCTGACTGTATGAAGGATTAGGTAAATAAACTAAACAGCAGACAAAGCAATGAAACGGTATGACAAAAATTGGTACAAAAATCTTGTCAAGTAAACAGAATATTTGTGAAGACCTTTCATTTTTATATCCTAATCATTCAACTTTCTCTTTCTAGAGTTGAGCTTTGTATCGGTTTGTTGGTACTTTTAATCCCATTACAATTCAAATCACCTTCTTGTTTATGATATTTGGTCAAGCTAGGTCCGGCAGGCGATGCAAAATCAAGAAATGCACAAGATATCGATCAGTGTCTGGAAAGGTTATTCATCATAGAGAATGGCACAGGGGCCGAGCAATAAGGGAAATATTTGCAGCTTGCTGGTGAAAGATCTTGGTCGTCCATGGGAACATTGAAATCAGTCCAATCCTGAAAAGAGAAAAGGGAGAAATGTTTCTGCTGCTGTGTTTTCTATTTTTAATAACACAAATGTAAGTTCTAGTAGAAATCCACTTACTTTAACATTTTAAAGCGTGTTGTAACGATTCCAGGCAAATTTCTGACAGTAGAAAACAGTCTGTGTGGTGTAGAGAAAGCAGAGGTAATCACTACTTAGCATTCAGAAGTTAACCGTGTTTAGAGAGGAGAGGTTTTTTGTGTTTTACTTACTCCACATTTGAAGGCAGTCTCCATGTCTCTGCACCTGTATGTTGCCAAAGTGCATGGGTCTGAAAGGGACAAAAAAAACGGACATGTGAATGTGATGTTTGAATTATTTGTTGATAGAAAATCTTTGAATTTTGATCATTGATTAGTCATCCTTTATCAAGTTAATATTTTTGTTTGGGTTTTTTTCCTACTTTCCCACTGGTAAGATTTAATACTGGGATAACTTAAAGATATAATATGTGCAATCTCTACATAAATAGACATGTGTTGTATTTGTTCTTGAGTTGTGTGCTTGCTTATACCAAATGTGTCCAAAGATGGTCAAACATGGGAAATCGGAAACTAAAGTCAAGTAATGGTGTGTTTCATTTGGCCATCTGAAAGCCCCTTTGCATGTGTTTTGGTTTCCTGCAAGAAGGTGTCATAATTTGACTTTTTCAAGTTTTATCCACATTTTTACGATACACTTTTAGGATGTTGGTCGTTTTTTACATTACGTTGAAAACCAGATAAGACATTAGACCCGGCGCCAGAACAAATCTAAAGGGAGGGTATATGATTTTCATGGGAGGGCACACAAAACCGTCACGTGCTGCGGGCCTGCGGCACAATATCAAACAGCATTGCGTAAAGACGCACACTCATCGCAAACATACACAAATAAAGGGCAACATAGCAACCACTTTGAAACATTGTGTGCGTGGCAGCACAAACACTGGTAAATCACGAGCAAGGCACACTGGTTGAGGATGGCAGCTTCCTCATCGCTGCACTCGGAGATAAATAGTAGAGACGGAGACGATGAGCTGTTTAGCCCGCCTTGGGCATGGTTTATTCTCCTATGCACTGCACTCGGACATGCTGTGGAGTGAACCGTGGTCACCTCTGAGAGGGAGTTGGTTGACAGCTAAAAAAGCTATAATATCAACGACAGCTGACACGTAATAACGGCTCCGTGCCAGCTGATCTGCACCAAAGTTCTAATTTCCTTATTTGTTTCCTCGCGTATCTGTCTCTCTCTCCACAAACTCTCACATGAAATGTGTTCTTTTGATGCGGCATGTCTTAGCAGTCCTTTATCAGTCTGTAATGCGTGTTTCCAATCGCAAAAACCTTTGACAGTAAAAGCCGCATCAGATGAAGACGTATTTACTTTAAACTGTCTACAGGGGAAACAAAAGGCTGCGTCTGCTTTTAACGAATCTTCAAGCCATGGTCTGTTGTTGTACCATGCAGCGGCAAAAATGCGCTTCTTTCCTGAAAACAATCTCCCTGGATAACGATCCAGTTTCACCTGGTTGGGTTTATTAACCCCAAGATCATCTGGGGCTGTTGGTCTTTGAGCGGTTGCTGGCCCAATAGAACCTGTTGATGTGCTGCAAGGTAGCGTCTATAGCGGAGGCACCGGCACGGAGCAGGAGGAGGAGGATGATGGCGGGTGTGGTACAGGGTGTGGCAACGCAGGTGGTGACGGTAGGGGCACAAGGAGCTGTGCCTCGGAGGACAGCGTTGGTGGCGGCCGCCTTGATGAGTCAAGGATTGGGCTCGCTAACTCAGCCCCGGGGTTTGCCGAGGTCAAGCTTGTGACATTAAGGCGTGCTGCTGCAACTGCAGGTGCAGGGTCGCCAGCAGCACCATCGGATGCAGTTCTTTCATCGCTATTTCGTTTTAATAAATCCTTAGACCTTTTTAAGCTGATTTCTGATGTCCATTTTGTAATTCAAACAGAAATGGGAGTCTACCGAATGCACAATAAACAATAAACAAATCCAGAATAGGCGGCAGAGTGTGACGCTGTGATTGGTCTAAATGGGGACGAATCACAAATCACAACAGACACATGCATTTATTTGACGTAGCCTGCGATCTTTTTTTTTAGTTCTGACATCACATACATCGTAGCATAAAAGTTCACAGTTTATTTATAATTAAAAAAAATTAAAAAATATTATTTTTTTTAATAAATAATAAAAAACGTGTTTATTGGGGGAGGGCAGGAATGTCAAATGGGAGGGCCTGGCCCTCCCACGGCGCCGGGCATGCATTCAGGCCCTACTTTTTGATATTAAGTTATCCAAAATCAAGCTTGTACTGTATGTGGTTGATGTAGAGAACCCTTGTTAAAATAAGTAGTTTGAAGATGAAGCCCTGCACACATCCATGGGGGGAACCAGACTCACCCACAACAGGAGCTTCCTGCCCGCCACACATATGGAGCAGAGTGCAGATGGTCTGAGGGGTGGCTTGGCTCACAATTGCATCCAGCACAGTCTTGCTAAACTTGCCAACGATGTCCTCGCACTGATGTCTGAACTTGGATGGCAAAATATGACAGATCTCCCCCAGCAGCTTGATCACAGCATCCTGCAAAAGTCATAGACGTCCTAAAGTCGTCAGTGCTGCCTAGAGTTATCTGCATGTCTGTGTGGGTGTGCAGAACAAAGGGATATTGTTTGTGTGTGTTCCTTGACTGCATGAGCGTGACTCACCTCAGTCCTGTCTTTTGGCAGCATTTCCTCCAAAGTCTTGATGAGTAGAAGGCAGAAGGGGCATGTGACTGTGGGCTGCACCTGAAACAAACAGCAGAGGGAGTAAAGTCTAAAGAGCCTGTCAACAACTATGGTCCACATATGATATGATCTTTTGTCCATTCTAGCAGAATCAAAATTAGGATATTTGCCAAGTAGGTTTACACATTTAAGGTATTATCTTTGGTGTACAATGGTGCAGACATAATACAGTAAAAGGAATTTAGTTGGAGAATTGTTACAAAAACTGTTTAAAAATCTAAAACGAGATAAAATAAGAAAAAATTGTCAAAATAAATACAATTTAAATGTAGCAGGGCTTTGCTGTTTTAAAGATTGTGCAGACATGTGCAAGGTTCAGACTATTGCATATAAGTAATGGCTCACAAGATGTAACAAGATGTGTGTTAATGTAACGTATAGTGTCTATTAATTAGAGGAGTGCTTGCTGTACTTTACTGACATTTTCGTTTGTCAGAGCCAACTGAAGGAGTTCCTTGACCAAAAAGCTGCGCATCTTCTCCTGCTCGTCACCGGAGCCACAGAGACCGATCGCATTGCAGACATCTGCTGGTTTCTACAAAAGATGTGATCAAGACATAAACCTCTCTTTAGCATCAGACACACTAAAGGTAAACTACAGACTATATGACACACGTTTACTTACCACAAAACCAACAATGAAGTTGAGGGCCACTGGGAGCAGCTTCTCCACCTCGTCTTTGCAAAATTTGGCAGTGGTAGCTGGCCCAGGCAGGAGGTCACACACATGTTCAATGCCATCCATCATCTTTTTCTGAAATACAGTTCTGCATTAGGTGTGTGGTCTTTAAAAGGGGTGGAGAGTAGTATATTTACTCAACTGTACTTAAGTTAAACCTTGATGTAACTTACTTGAGTATCTCTATTATTTACTACTTCTACTCCACTTAATTTCAGAGGATTTAAAACACTTTTTACACCACCACATTTTTTCAGCTGTCATTTGCATATCATCTTTAAGGTGGTGCAATGCAGGCCCAGTTGCATTATTATGAATTCTA